TTCAGAGGCGGAGATAACGACGCGATAGTCTTCCGTTGTCCACCGGGATCCGAGGTTTAAAAAGCGCACGCAGCTACCATTTTCCACTTTTCAGAAGGAGCGGCGGTGCCCCGAAGGCAGCAGGGCGCCCCCGTCGGCTGCACACGTGCCGCCCCCACCACTCCCTCCGCTCACCGCCTTCGCCACCCCACTGCCCGCGTACAGATCGCCCCGTCATTGTAACTTCCTCTGTCGCCTCCCATCTCCTCCCCTCCTTCTCCCCACTACCACTCCATTCCCAGCCCGTCCCCACCCCGTCTTCGCTCCTCCCCACCTCCGCTCCTACCTCCGCGATCATCCTCACCCTCACCTGGCCTCCGCTACTGCATCCGCCCCGTCCTGTTCTTTGACTCCTACCTCTCCCTAACTCGTCCCTGCTCCGCTCTTCTTGCACCGCTCTTTTGGGCCGTACGGCTCTTGCACCGCTATTTGTCCACGCGCTTTTGCCACCGCTCTGCCATCCGCTCTTAGCCATACCGCTGCTTGCCTCCGTTCTTGACTCCCGCTGCTTGCCTCGCTCGGCTTCTCGCTTGTCGCTCGTCCGCTCTTGCTTCCGCTCTCTCCGCTCTCTTGGCGTCGCTCTTGCCTTCCGCTCTTGCTCGCTCTTGGCTTCCGTCTGCCATCTTTCCTCGTCACCCAGCCTGTTGCGAATAGATAGAGTCCCTGCCACGTTCCAACGAACGCATCCTGAACCTGGCCTCACCTCCGTCCACCCCGCCCTACCGCTTCGTGCACACGACGTGGTAGACCGAGGGCGGCTTTGAATGCTGCGCCATTCGTCTGCGGGTGAAAGCCTTATTGGCTCCGGGCGGCGTGGGCGTGCGGCGACGCGGCGCGGGCTGGGACGGGGCCTCCGTGGCGCTTGGCGCACCGGGTGAGGCGAGGGGCGGTGGGGCTTTTTTTCCAGCGGGCGAACCGCTCCTTGTTTGTCTTATCTCCCAATCTCGTGGTGGGGGGTCGGCCTCCCGCTGTGAGGGATAACTAGAGCGCGGCAGGCGGAGGGGGGTGGGGGATGGTGGCAGCGGGTCGCGGCAGGAGTGTTAATGGCTTAGGACGGCGCGACGAGGGCAGAGTAGAGTAATCTGGGGGGCGTTGGGCGGGGGGTATGAGGCGGGCGTTGGCGGCGGGCGTTGCGGGGGCGTTGGCGGGGGCGTTGCGGGCGGGCGTTGGCGGGGGGTTGGCGGGGGCGTTGGCGGGCGCGTTGGCGGGGGCGTGCTTGGCGGGCGCGATGCGTTTGGCGGGGCCGTTGCGGGCGCGTTGGCGGGCTGCGTTGGCGGGAGGCGTTGGCGGAGGCGTGGCGGAGCGCGTTGGTCGAGGCGTTGGTGGAGGGCCGTTGGCGTTGGCGTAGGCGGAGGCGGACGGCGGAGGCGGAGGGGTTGGTCGAAGGCGTTGGCGGATGCGTTGGCGGAGGCGTTGGCGGGAGGCTGTTGGCGGAGGCGTTGGCGCAGGCGTTGGTTCGAGGCGTTGGTGGGACGGCTGTTGGCGGTTTTGGGGCGGTAGGCGAGGCGAGGGCGGAGGCGGAGGCGTAATTGCGGAGGCGTTGGCGGAGGCGTTGCGGAAGGCGTTTGGCGGAGGCGTTGGCGGAGGCGTTGGGAGGCGTTGTGCGGAGGCGTTGGCGGAGGCGTTGGCGGAGGCGTTGGCGGAGGCGTTGGCGGAAGGCGGTTTGCGAAGGCGTTGGCGGGGGGGCGAGGGGGCGGATGGCAGATAGAGAAGAGGTTCGTAGGCGGAGGCATAGAGAGGGTGTTGGCGGGGTCGTAGGGGGGGAAGACTGTTGGGCAAGAGGCGTTGACCAGGGGGGTTGGGAGAGGCGGAGGCGTTGCCGAGACGGTGCAGAAGCGGCGGCAGGCGGGTGATGATGTTTGGTAGTGTCGGAATGAGTAGGTGGCGGTCGGCGTTCGGCGGCGCGTGAGAGCGTCAGGTGTGGGCATTTGCGTGTCGGAGACGCCCCCGTCGGGGTAGTCTCCGGCAGTGCCTGGGGTCGGCCTCAGCTTCACAAACTCAGGCACGCTTAGTCCCCGATTCGTTTGTTGCGTCCGCGAGAACAAAGGTCAACCGCCGTGCTGCTCTCTCAGACCCCTCCCCTCCCCCACCGTGCAGCGAAACGGTACTGGCGGCTGCGCCACATCGGCGGCTCATCCTTGGTATGTTGATTCACCTCATCCTCTGCATTCCGCTCGTCGTCCTCTTCGATATCATTCGACCCTTCTTGAATTCATTTCCCAGCCTCGTTTCCCTTTCGTTGTCATTGCCACGTTTCATCACACTGTTGTCAGCGCAATTTTCCATTACCTTATTAACATTTTTTTCAAAATTATTATTCTCATCTGTTTTGGTCTGGTTTTCTGTGTTTTGTATTTGTCTTTTCTTTTATCTGTGCTGTAAATAAGGCTCCAACGCCACTCCTAAGTCTACAGATTCCTAAATCTATTTAAACATGCCCCTAGTTTGGGGCAGTAAAATAGTGTTTTAATAGAAAGGGATTATGTAACTCAGAGTAATATTGTTCATATGGAAACTTTTTAATTCGAATATTAATAACGCATGGGAGTGGAATTTCTCGATTACGGGTTGTTTATAAGTCTAGTGACGTTGATCGGCCGTTCGGTATGTCGCTTTTTCGGATTGATTGATTGGATGACTCTTTAGTAATTCCGCTCAGTCTTTTCCACTTATTAGTGGATTGCGGGGGTCTTGACGGGCTTAAGTTCCGTAAGTTGACGTGCATGTTTTTTTTTCATTGGGCAGGTGGTGGTGATATTCCTGGGATAGTGAGACTCCACCGTCTGCTATCGGTAGATTCCCTACCAGATATATCCACTGCAACGGGACACCCGCACCAGTCCGGAATGGCACAGAGCTTCTCAGTCCTGACGCGATCTCTCGGGCATCAGTGATATGTGAAAAGCAGTGAATTTGTGTCTGAAAGTAAGGGTGTGAGGGATTGGTTAAGGGAAGGGAAGGAAAGATCGCGAGCGATGTGGCCCGTTTTGTGAGGTAATGCTGCTTCGGGGATTCTCGCTGGTGTTGATCGGAGGAACCTCAGGAAAAAATACCGATCGTCTGGCAGCGACTTGAATTCGACGGAAGCTGTATAACTAGTGCTCTAAAAACGTCCCACCGTCAGGAGCTCATATCTATCATAACTCTGTATGGTCACTGCAGGTTTCCTGGCGCCTCTCCTGTCAGAGGGCATGCAAAGCAAAACTTCAGTCTAATTAGCCCTGAGCCAAACCTCTCCCAGTCGATACGTCCGTCAACGTAAGCCTTTCACAACCTCTCTTCGCTGTGCCTTAGATACCGCTTCTTTCTCCATAGACGTCGTCAAAATCGCGCGGCGTCAGCTGCGTGTCAGGCGTTCGACGTCGCTTCCGCCCCCCTTCCTCGGGCAGAGGGGACCTTCGCGTAAGAACTCGCCCCCCCTCCTCACCGTCGGCCGTTGCGTAGGAGAATCGTCGGTCTTGTTTCACTGGACGATAGACGGCGGGACGTTTTTTATTGAAATCTTCCGTCCCTTCTCCGATCCCTCTCGTACGTCTTTTCCTCCCTCCTCCTCCTCATCAATAATCCCAAAAACCTGGATTCGTGGTCGGCCGGAAGTGAAGGGCGCCGGATGAGACAGCAGGCGGAAACGTTGAAGCGGAAGTGCGGTGACGAGTGGTGTCGACGGTTTTCGACTCCCCCCGCCCCCTTACTTCTCTCCCTCCCTCCCTCCTTCCCACCCTTACTCGCTCTCTCGCTGCCCGTGAAATTGTGAAGGGTTTTTTCCAGAAAGGACGAGGTCCTCTCTTGGGTGAAGACGACTGTTTTATTACGAGAATCAGAGAGAACAATCAGGCGACAATCCTGCTGCAGAATGTATCAGTTTTCGTAATGTTCCTGCCGTTCGCAGAAAGGTTGTAGAGAAAACTTTTCAAGTGCCTCGCGCTCGTCTTTGAATAAGAAATTCAGTCTCTTTTGATGTCCTTCATTTTGGAAAACACTCCGATTAATGAAGTTTGCGTAGTGAAGATATAGTTGTTTGCAACTGTTTGAACTGATTTGCAACTGTTTGAACTGTTCATTAACATCAGTGACGAATGCCTCAAAACGGCAGTAATATTTATTTTAGAGAAACATGTTAGACATTTAACAACCTTATGCGATTTTTCATTAATAATTACAATTAATGATGTTTGCTTCTCAAACTGGGATGCACTGTCAGCTATGAGTAGAACTCATATTTAGGACTACTCGGCTATTGCAGAAGAAACGTAGCTATTACAGGGTTGCAACTTATATTATTTGATTTGTAAGTATCTACATAAATTCAATGTCTTGTTTCAGTCTAATATAACATTTGTATTTCATAAAATAATGAAATAATTATTTATCTTACGAAATAATTATTCTACATAGCTATAACATTTGTTCTAATTCCACTACAGAATCATGGAATGAAATAATGTGTTTAATGTCAATTTCAGAAGAACGTCTGCCCAATACCTTATGCAACAGGCTATAATCTGCGCAGAATCCTTGCTTACCCAGTCTCTTCTCGCTCCTATCCTTAGAACCTGGAGTTTCACTGATTCTTCTTTTCCAATATGGACTATCCACCTGGAAATAAACAAGTCCGACAGTACTGCAAATACAAAAATGTTTCTGACGGCTGAAATTGGGGTGAAGCACAATTAGAAATAATATAAAGAATTTTTTATTAGTGTTATTAATGTCTCAATAGATGAGTTGTTTTGGTGACGATGCCACTAATTATTCATTTATTAGTGCACTTGAAAATAGATTTCATGATTTGATTAAATTATAGTATTAAGACAATATTAATTCTTTAATGTATCTCAGGACTTTTCTGACATGTCATCATATTTTAAAATCAAACTTATAAGTAAATACATTGACGTAATTCTGTAATGAAAGTTCTAGAATGGCCATTGACCGCGCCCCCTTTTGCGCTCGTGTTGCAGGATGAAGGCTGGAAGCTGAACCGCACCAACTACTACCAGGAGGGCTGGCTGGCGACGGGAAACATCCGGGGCATCGTGGGCGTCACCTTCACCACCTCGCACTGCAAGAAGAGCGCCGAGTTCCCGCTGCGCACCAACTATAACCTGCGCGGCCACCGCTCCGAGGTAGGGCGCGCACCAGCCAGCGCACCAGCGAGCGCACCAATTTAGATTGTAATTTTCTCGGGCATTTCATCTTCAGTGAAACATCTATGAAAAACAACATCCGCCCCTCCCAAAGACGTATTTTTTCTTCGAAAATACGAAAAAAGATTGGGATTTTCGTGTTTAACTTCAGTAAAACGTGATTGAGAGACAACCCCTATTAAACAACCGCCCATCTGGACAATCTATTCCTCCTGGAAAAGACGAAGGAAAGGAAATGATTGTAATTTTCTGGCATTTCGTCCTTAGTTAAACGTCTCAGAAAAATACACGCCCTATTACACGACCACCCCTCTCAAAAACATATTTTTCTTGGGAAGGGCACTGTAACAAACATTGTATGTAATTCGTACCCTTGTAAACTGGCCACATCCTCCCTGACCATAGACCAGCGTCTTTAAAGAAATTTTCTTAATTTCTCCCTTCTAAGAGACCACTGTCCGGAATTTTTTGGCAACATTGTTAACGGCATTTGCGCAATATGTCCTGCATCTCATCGTCAGTCCTTGGGGAAATCGGAGGACTGGGGGATTACGGAAATCATGTAGCTATATAACACACCACTGATATGTTGCTACAGCTGCTCGCTCTGTTTTAGTCCGCAACCCACATTAGACTGCGACTGTTTACATAATTTAAATAAATTATTAGATATATAGTTATGAAACAGTGTCTAGTAATTGATCTGTAGGGAATGTAACAGCTAAGATGAAACTTGCACATCATCCTGAATAACAAAATTCTGACGTTCCTGGTCAAGCATTTTAAATCATTCCATGAGCTATTTACTTTCATTGTAATTGACTTAATACATATTTTACTATTTGATTTGATTTAGTGCATGGGCTTGCTACAGCCTTTGATATCACACCACAGTAATTTATCTGAGGGCAGAATGAAATACAGCATGAAGTTTACGAAATATGCTAAGATTAAGGAGTCAAAGCGCTTGTTGTAACTGAGAGAGGACGAGTCCTTGAGGTCTTAGAAATCCGCAAGATGAGCATTCCTTCGTCAACATCTGAGATAGTGAGGGAAGATCAAAGGAGAGTACCCAACTGTGAAATGAAATCCACGTCTTCTGAGAAGATCTTTCGGATGTTAATTACATCGAGACGTCTCTTAATGGACATATCTGGATAGAGGACGCTTTTAAATTAGCACAATCTTCTAATTCCTCTTAAAAGTACGTGTAATGATTTAAGAATCTACATTTTAATGATAAAATACAATACTTCCAAAAAATGTAAAAAAAAAACATCCAAAAATGTATCATAAGGCATGACCTCGCATTCTCAGAGACTGTGATGCTGTTGTAGTAAAGACGACATAGTTCTTTGTCAAATTTGTACTTATTGTCACATTTTTCTGTGAGAATTCTACACTGAGATGGCAATACTGATAACCAAAAAAGAACAATCTATATATGTTTCAAAATGTTGGATGTACGGAAACTACAAATATTGCAAACGCTCACTTCTAGTAGTTTGATGTCCAAAACGCGCAATCAGTGACGTGTCAAAAATATTTCCATTGGACATTGTTGATAAGTAAACCCTCCATAATAGAGTTGCTGTTCGCAGCACCTAGTTTTACCGGTTTAGTACCCACTCATAGAATTGCATACATATCACATACATATTGCGTACGTGATTCGCGTACAAATCACGTCAAACCATTAGAAAGTTCTAAATTTCTTTCAGATGAAACCTCACCGTGCCTTCTGGGTGTACACATCACTAGAAGGCCCTCGTTTAGAACGCTCGTCGCTCATTCTGATGGACAGCTTCAATATTCTTTTTCTTCTTCTTCTTCTTCTTCTTCTTCTTCTTCTTCTTCTTCTTCTTCTTCTTCTTCTTCTTCGCCGTTGCATCACTTCTGCTGCTCCACGTCCATCTGAGCAACTTGCCACCACTGCTATTACTTCTTGCCGAAGATGGCCGTTTAAATCAGCAAGCAGGCCACGTGGAGAGGGAAAAAGTGGGGCTCACTGTCCCAATAAATCACGCCCCCGAACCATCGCCGACGCCTCGATTTAAGGGGCGGTGTCTGCTGCTCGCTTGTGATAGGGAGCAAAAAGATTTGATTCGTATTCATTGCTCAAACGTTTCTCTTTGTTGGGTTAAGAGGTCGTGTTTCACAAGTGCACATAATGATGTAGTTTATTTACTGAGTCCGTAAGATAATAAGTAGTTAATTCTTTCCTTCATTCAGTCGCTGACATTTCAAAGCTGGACGTATAAAAAACGAGTTCTCTCTCAGGGTATGGGGAGCGTATAGGGGAATTCTCCACAAGATGTTTCAAGAAATCATTTCTCACACAACTGCCGACTCTAGGTCGTCAAAACGCTGATTGACGCTGATTGACTGATGAAACGCCTTTTGTAATCGCACTGTTCTCACTTCCAACGTTGACACGCTAGCATGTGAAATGGAAGAGGGAACTCTTTCGAATTATTTTACATTTTACTGTTGTATTCACACATTTGTATTTATTTATAATAATTAGATCGTAATTTGTAAGTTTTGAGATATGTTTTACGTTTTATAACAACACATTTTAGATTATTTTAAACATTCAGTGTATCTTGAAATATTGGAAGGTCGAGAACTGTTGCCTTTGCGCCCCCCCCCCTCGAAGTATTGAATGCCTTTGTAGTCGACAATGGTATCGGTTTGTCTGATCAGGTTTCTTTTCAATGCAAATGCCGTGGAAGAAATAAAAGCATAGACATTTTGTGCAAATCTGTTACAAACATGTAGATGCGACAATTAATACCAAAGCAATTGCTACAGACCCGAAATTTTTTTGTAACATTGAAATATTAATACCCAAAATTATATGTTGAACATTTGGATAAACTGCAGTTAATATGTTTGGATGACACATCTATTTAATATAATTATTTTAGTTGTATTTACAATGAAATGAATGTGAAACAATGTCCGTTCAATGCAACAATTATAACCTTATTTTTCTGGATCAGCATTACCTCCAACCAAATCATTTTGCTATGGCATTCAAATCCTGTTCTCTCAGTATGGAGGCCTATTATTAAAAAGCGCAAATAACCTCGTCATTGGATCCAACTAAATTGTTAATTAGCAAGTCTATAAATTCAATAAAATTGATAAAGATAGTGGACGAATATTGGCAGCAGATCTTTACAGTAGCAACTACCCTCGTATAAAGAATAAAGCTTTATCCACTTTTTCGTTACCAGGTGCCACCGATAAGAGTTTTTCTGTGGATTATTCGCAGTTTTTCGGTGCACGATTACAATATTTTATCTTCTTACGAAGTAAGTGCGTGAAATTAAAATACTGAATATCAGCCCTTTTTAAAGATGAAATTATATCGCTTTATTTTCATTTTTTTTCAAATTAGAGTTTACTAAATGTTAGCATCTTCGATCGGGTGGAGTTATGGAATGTAGGATAGCGAGACAGATCTATTCATTGAAATGCAGGATTGTAATCAAAATTACATAATTTGAGACTCCTAACTGTGCTGTATGCCTGTGGCATGTGAAAATTAGGCTTATTTCCATATTCAAGGCACTTAATCCCCGCGTGATTGCGTATGATTTAATGGGCAGGTATTTTTAAATTCAGTCCAATCTCATTATCTCTAAAACTTGATGTCCATAAAATAAATTGGATTTAAATTAGAGTAAATGACCACCGCGTTCGATTAGTGGTTCCCAGTTACCCCTCGTATCCTCATCTGGTTTCCATGGTGACCTTTGCCCCCTTCAGTCATATCGATTACCGAAGTTCCTGCTTCAATGCAACTGCACTGTGGAGTATTCCAATGCTGAATGGGAGGGCGTCTATTTAAAAATTCTATTAGCAAATTTACAAGTAGAAATAGAGAAGTATATTCTAATCAGAATTATAGTTTTATAGCTATAATGCATATTTGCCCTTGATTATTAGATGACTATGCAATTGACATATTTTTCCTGGATACTCTAAGCTTTAGAATTATATTATTGTGACAGGCATCAGGAGATATCAATAATAGGTAATAACATAGAATCAGAATAAAATTCATTTGAAATTGTTTGTGTGTATTTCCGGTAAATAATTTCCCCTTTATTTCCACACATAAATATAGCAATAGGAAATATTTACATTAAACCATTGACTTTAAATTTGAAAAAGAGTAAGAATGATATTGTTTTGTCCAGATCTATTTTTTTTTAAATTACTGAATTACTCATTTAAGGATAATTCAAAGTCTTTATGCAAACTTAACGAACATTGTCCATTTATTAAACTCTCTTATTTTTTAATCAATTTATTGCTTTCTAATCCACCGCTTTAAAAATAATTATTTCCGAAAAGTAACAATGAATTACTGTTACGTGTACATTCTTCGGATTTGTAATTGCAATTTGTACAAAAAAAATTGTAAAAGATACTAATAACGAGTACTAATTGAGGGAATTTGGGTAAATCGGAAAGTGAGGGTAAATAGGGAAACGCTTTCTTTAGCAACTATAAATTGATAAAGATGACATTTATGGTAATCTGCTTTGACGTAACAAAATCAACTATTGAATATAGAACTTTGAAATATAATAAACATATTGTTCTGTAGGATTTATAAACTGAAAAAGGCTTCCCAGCTTAACCTACTTTCCCCTAATGAATCTCTACGATGCCAAAATACAAATAGGATGGGATATTAACTATCGATCCATAAACGCCGGTAGTGGCACAAATGAAGGATTTATTAGAACATGAAATTTGAAGAGCGAGCGCGCAAACATCCTCTTTATCCGTAGATTATTCCAATCGCAGTCACGTAAACATGTGCTTGCATCGCCGCGGGCGGCCCACCCGTGAGCCATGGCGTCCCCGGGGGCACCTAGGTGAGATAACGGAGGGGCCCCTCGGGACTGCATTTGTGGCCGTGCGCGATACACGCATGGAACCAGAGGGTCAAGGGCGAG